TATTATATAATTTTGATTTGATTGTTTCATCTAAGTGTAATGATTATATTTTCTTTTTTAATTTGCATTGGTGTTTGTAATGACCAACTTTTCCACATTTATAACGTACTGGAAGTTTCTTTTTATGTTTTGTATTTGGAGAGAATTTGTTTATAAATTTTTGTTTAGCTTTCTTATATTGTTTATGTACTTTATTAGATTTGGATTTATATTTGTCTTTTTTATATTTTTTCTTTTTCTTATATAACTTTTCAGATTTATTTTTCTATCTAAATGATATCCAAATTGTTCACAGAAATCACCAAGTTCTTTACGCTTAGTAATTTGCTGTTTATCTAACTGTCTTTTGATTTTAAGATCAGTACATAAAGCTAATCCTTCAGCACATATTTCTGCTGAGAGTTCTCCAAGTGTATATGCTGAGTATACTATAATTCCATTATGTTTCTTTCTAAGTCTGTATTTGAGAAAAAGACATCCTTGTACCATTTATAATGGGATAATGTAGGACAACGAAGATTAGATAGCAGATCTTCTGATCTTGCTGCCAATAAGGCTGTACTTCCTACAAAATATAGTGTAATGGTATATATTAAGGTGTTTGCTGCATCACTTTCAGTATAAATTATTTCTTGATTTAGTTCATTTCTGGCGGTCCATTGTCTTGTATTGGTAAAGATTCTATTTTTCGTTTCATCATCCATATAGAAATCCCACCAGCCTCTTAACCAGCCAGTAAATCCATTGACTATTGCTTTAGCAACTTCTTGGTCTGAATTGCCTGCCATTTTGTTTGCCGAAGCAAACATTGTCATATGTCTCATGACATGTAATATTTTTAATTCAGATAAACCATCTATTGTCCAATTAACTATTGATTTTCTTGAATATGAAACAGCTTGTTGTATGACATCTTCTTCAAGCTGTACATCAACAGGTGTAGGTCTCTTATAATATGGTAAAGCTGTGATTGGTCTCCATGTTTTACCATAGGCTATTCTGTTTATATCAATAGGTGTAGTATCCATAAAAGCAGACTCTTGGTTTTGTATGGTATCTTCTATAACTGGTTCTACTTCTTGGAGCATCATTGTTTCATGCTCTGGTATTTTTTATTTTCCCTTATCTGAAGATTCTGGTAAAGGAACAGGTATATTGGGTATAAGAATACTGAGTTTAGGAGAGGGAATTCCTTTAATATCTAATTGGGCTAATTTAGCTATTAACTGATCTATTAAGGTTTTATTATTTTCGCCGATATGGAATTTATTTTTATTAAGTTCAGGAGGTGATTTAAACAGAACTGCTTTAGGAAGATAAGGAGTTATTCCTTTAGATTGATGGGTAACTAATCGTTTTATACGTTCTGCTTGTTTTCCTAAAGATTGCATATATAAATTAGTATAATTGTTTTGTTCCACGATATGTGGTATTAGCTCTTGTTTTTTACCTATTTCTTTAGGTATGACTTTATATGGTGTTGCAATAATATCATGTAGAGATTGTGGTGGTTCTCCTTTGCTTAATGGGGTTATGGCACCTTTGAGTATTATACTTTTTTCAGGAGGGTGTGTACTAGCAGTAGTGGTTCCATCCGTACTAATATATGTTTTTTCTTCTATGGTTTGAAGAGTATTAAATGGAGGAATGTTTATTTTATATTGAGTACATATCTCTTGTAGCCATATAAAAAATCCTTTTGTTTCTATTTCTTTTTTAAAAAATTTATTATATTTTTGATGAAATAATTCTATTAACCTAGATTGGAAGGTTTGAAGATACCATTCCCTAATACCTTGATTTTCTGGAGAAAGATAATCTTTTTTGAGATAATCAAAATCTATTTTTCTCTTTTTTCGTTCTAATTTAGCAGCTAAATATGTTGCTATATATGTATCATATGCATTATTAGTATGTATTTCTTCTTCTATATCATCTTCTATTTGTAATGTAAGTATTTGAAATTCTTCTATATCCGGTTCAGATGTATATATAGGAATGACTACATGATCAACTGTTCTTTTGACTCCTTGTATTTGGAAGTCTGAAGATGGTGTACGTGTTGAAGAAGAAGGCAGTATGATAACATTGGGAGTAGTATGACAAGATTTTCTAGCAGGTATTAATGGTTTTTTATTTCTTTTCCTATTAATATCTATATCATCCTGTACTATAGGTTTTTGGAATTTTATTTCAATATTTCCATCATGATGTTCTATTATTTGGTTTGGAATATTATTTCTAGGTACTTCCCTGGGTTGGTTTGCATTTTGCACTGCCCATGATTGAGGTAGAATAATGTCGGACCAAGTAATTGTTTTTGATATAATTGTATTTGATTTTTCTATATTTATTTGAAATAATATAATTTGATCCTTTTTATCAGTTTGCATAATATTAAGACAAAGAGTATTCATTATCTTATAATAAATTTTGTATACTATTGCTAAATTCTGAGAACCATGTATCATATTAAATCCATGAGTTTTCCAATTTATAGTTAATATATCTAGTATATTTGGATCTGTTAAAGAAACAGAAAAATTTTGAAAGCAATTAAAATATATAGGTCCACTACATAGGCTGGATTCTACCATGTCCAGGAGTGAATCTGAGAAATTATTGTGTTTTGTATCTCTTAGTCATACAAGCACTAAAGTGTTTAACTCTAGACGGGTTAAAGGTTTAATTGCTATTTGGATTAATCCAATGTGCAAATATTTATAATTATTTTCTTTATGTTTTTCAATAATTTTTCTTGATAATAATTGAAAGTCTTCTTGGTTGTGAGTTACAGATAGACTTTCTTCTACTGTTTTTATAGCATAACCTAATTTGAATTTAAATGATCGTTTCTGATAAATATCTTTTATTGGTACCTTAGGAATATTCCAATTTTGGATATGATGTTCAATATCATTTATAATAATCTCCTCTTTATTTTTAACTCTTAAAGTTTGAGATTGAGTTGCAGTATTACCTTTAAGATTCCTATTTAAATTTACATCTAAAAAAGTTGGTCCGAGAGTTAAGGCAAGAGACGAACGGACAAGTCTATACAAAGTACCCGCCAAGGCCAGGAAGAGCCGTTTCGGGGAACACGCTGGACCCGTGATCGTCCAGATTGTCATTATCCGCACATATATATATATGGGTGGTGAAGTTTAGATTGTCCCATATAAAGTTTGTCTAGAGTTAACAACACCTTAAAATACAAAAGCTAAAGTTAGAAGGTGTTGTGATGTGAGTATTTAGATTACCCCATACATATATTAGTTATCATTCTCTCTCTCTAAACTCTCCATCCTATAATTACCCAAAAGAAAGTCTTAACCCTATAATATTTGGTAACCAATCAAATCATAGGTCTAAAAATTTCAAAGCGATTTTTTTTTTCTTCAAATTTTCCATGTAAATTTGGTTTCTTCATGTTGGAAACTCTCTTATCTCACAACTAAGTTTCCTTAATAATAGGTACACTGTAGTGAGAAAAGAAAACCATCTCTATTGAAAGATATATTTTTATGTTTAAAGAAGGTTCTTTTCCCTCTTAATTTTATCTTACCTATATCTTAAAATATGAAAATTTTTTTATATAAGGTTGCAGCATAGAATTAAAAATGCTCGTAAAAAATCCATCGGAAAAGGTTGTTTAAATGTTGAAAAACCATCTAATTGATGATCTTGACATTGAGATGTATGAATATGAAAAAAAAAATTTGAGTCTAAAAAATAGTGCATCTTGCAACACATTATCTAGATGTCCATTTTCAATATTTTCATATGCTTATAGATCTACTTGATTTTAACCATTTTTGTAGTTCAAAATTTTAGAAATAAATATGAAAATAGATCTTGAAAAAATCCTAAGAAATTTTTATATCAAACTTATATGATAAAATTTGGAGGAACGCCTTAATTAGATTGTTTAAAGTTGCAACCTTGTAAAAGCCACACCCCTTAAATAATCATATAATTTATTTTTTAAAATTTATGAAAATCCTAAGACATCATTAATTTTGTAGGTCAGGGTAATCTCTCTTTCCTCAATGGCTTACCTCTCTCTATTATCTTGAAAATCATTGGACATCCTAAATTTTGTGGTCCTCAGTGGCTTACCTCTCTCTATTATCTTGAAAATCATTGTACACCCTAAATTTCTTGGTTATTGTAATTTCTCTCTCTCTATTATCTTGAAAATAATTGGACATCCTAAATTTCGTGGTTTTTGTAATTTCTCTTTGACGTGATAAGTTAAAAGACAAACCACATATCTTTATTTTGTAATTAAGAGAAAAAACACCCCCCAATACCTTTTTTAGATGAGCACGTGTTTGTTTAAACCTCAGGGCAGCGTTATCAAAAGATATTATACTCCTTCAGGAGTATATTATTCATTTACTTGCTCAAGTAGAACTGCAGCTAAGCTTGATTTAAAGAACTCAAACATTGGAGATATAACTTCTTTAATTCATAGATTAACCTAAAATTACTTTTTTAATGTGAATTGTAACGAATTATCTAGACAGTCTATTTACTTTTAAAAATAAATAATTATTTATCTACAAGATCTATGCCATTTTTTTAGTTTCAAATTTTATGGTCTAAATTAGGATCTACAAGATCTATGTCATTTTTTTAGTTTCAAATTTTGTTGTCTAAATTGGAAACTGATTTTAGATCCATGAAAGATATTTTCGTTACCTAAAGTATTTTCGCGAGAAGGATTTGAGGTGAAGCTTTATTTTGTTTTCATATATAGCCTAGGCTTTATACCCGAGATTTCCCTTACAAAAGAGGAGGCGGATTCCTTCTTCTCGTCATTTTCCGTGTGTTTTTCTTCTTCTTATCAGAGCTTTCTCGATTCGTAGACATGGACAAAGAAACCCTAGATTCGGAGAAATGTATTATTTGAGAGAGAATTCAAGTTTTTTTTGAACGGGGTTCAACCTTTTTCTGGTTTTGTTGTTCTTTCCAATCGAGATCAATGGTAAAGAAATGAGTAGAATTTTTTTTCAGAGCTTTCTCGATTCTTATTTCTTGATTTTGAGACATGCATTTGATGTTTGAGAATTTAAGCTATTTTTTAACAAGCCTTGGCCTTTTCCGGTTTTCTTCTTCTATTTTATGGAGATTGGAGGGGGAACTGGAGATTTGTGGCAAAGAAATGATAAGAAATTTTAAAAAAGTATTTCTTTAAATTTTTTTTCCATATTTGTTTTAGATTGTTTTGGTTGATATGGGCAATGGTTTTAAGATTCTTTGGGAGGAAATTCGGGAAAATATGGTGTTGCTGAGATATGATTGAAAGTTAAAAGCTTATTTTTTTGGAATGGGTTTGGCGCCCTTTTGTCGGTTTTCCTGCTCTCTCTTGCTTGTTAAATGATGTTTCATGACGCCCTTTTATTGGTTTCCTGCTCTCTCTTGCTCGTTAAATGATGTTTCATGGTAAAAAATTGCAGAATTGATTTCATTTTGAAGTTAGCAAAATACGAAAAATTGCTTCTTCTGTTGCAGTATCAATTAAAAATAAATTGGTATTGAATTTTGTTACAGTGTATAATTGGTTTATTTCTATGTATAATGAATTTCATGGTGAAATGGATGCCATTAAAAGTATTTTGTGACAAATTTTCTGATATTCAATTGGTTTTCCTGTTAAATCAAGGGTAATGGAAAAAGAAAGACCAAGGAAACGTCTTCTTTTCCCATGTTTGCAGTATTTGAAGATTTGAATTTATGCTCAAAACTTTTGCACTATTTTGCCTTAGCTAAACAATTTTTTGCTCGTGAAAAAAAATAAGAAATGAAGTTAAATAGTTTTGCAGTGCTCAATTGTTTTTTTTTAATTGTAACTCATGATCAATGGTAAATCGAAAAAACACAGTATTGTAGCTTTGTTTGAACTAGTTTTTGCTTATCAGTGGGTTTTTTGCATAAATTTGATATAAATTTCGTCAGATACCACCAAAAGACATTTTATGTTCTTTGTTATTGATCATTTTTCTTTTTTTGTTTATTTCCGAGGTTTTTTTTTGAAAATATACTGCTTTTTTCGCAGCAATTATTGGTAAATTTAGATTTCATGTTTTTAACTGATCTGGGTTCTTTTATTTCTTTGTTTTCTTGGCAGATTTTCAGTATTTTCAGCTCAAAGTTAGGAGGATTCAAAATCAAAAAATCACAATGAGCCAAACATATAGATCAAGTGAAGAATTGAGGTAGATCTGTACTCCTTAGTGGACTATTCCTGTTTTCTAGTTGAGCTGCCAGTTTAAGAACATCGAGGATAAGTGCTAACGAGTGAAGCTATTCAATAAATAGCTGAATATTTGATCCAACGTGCAAAAGTTTTTACAGAGGCTGCAATTCTTAATTATTCTTGGTACCCATTTCATGGACCCTGAGAGGAAATCCAAGAATCACATCAAATGAAGGAAATCCAAGAATCAGATCAAATGATCAAGTTATGTTTGAGTTGTGAATATTTTTGAACTATAGTAGCGAAGTTATCAGATTTCTCAATCTATGAAACAACTATGTTTGTCTTCAAGGAAAAGAAGGCCTTACAGGGATACAAAAATTTTGGTCATTTTATTGAATTTTGGAGACTAATTTCTTTATTTGGAAGATTTTGGCTTTCCAGTTGATTCCATAAGTTAAATTGTATCTCGGCAGGGAAATTGCAGAGTTTGATCATATTACATAGCCTCACCGTCATTAAACTGCAAAGTGGTTTAAAGGAAGTTTCATATATAGGGTTCTGGGGACAACTTTTGATTATTAAAGCTCTGGATTTGCATGTATTAAAGGAAGGTAACATCCATAAGAGATTTGCTGGTTTCAGATATATTAATCTGAGGTTAAGAAAGAGTAAAATCCATAAGAGATTTGCAGGTTTTCAGATATTTAAATCTGAGGTTGAGAGAAGAGAATTATAATATAAGTCCTAGGAGGCCAACTTAGAGGAGAAGAGAAAGTACATACATAAAAAGTATTTTATTAGAAGCTCTACTTTTCTTTACTTTGGGGTTTGATTGTATTATATGATCAACAATTCAGAAAGAAGATTTGGGTTTATTCCATTCAAATACATAAGGAATTCAAAACAGTCTTTGGGGATCTCTGTCAGGGAAGATAAGATTTAGAGAATAAGTCCACAAGGCAGGGAATGCTTTTGGCTTTACTTATGTACTCACCAAGGGAAAAAACCGTGCATTATTCTTATTGAAGTGCTAAATGGAAGTTTTATTCAGCAAAAGTTAATATTTTTCTGATTGGGTAGAGAATTGCTTTGCTGGGTATGACTGAGATGCAATACTAAAATCATTTTCAGCATACTTGTACATGTTTGGTGTTTCTTAGGGAATTTACATTTTCGGGTAAAAGAGTTGCAGTAATGGATCTGGGTTTGGAGGATTTAGAGACTGGCTTACTTGATGCAGAGAAGGGTATAGAGAGGTCGGAATCTGCACATTCAGGAAAGCATTTGAGGGTGCCTCTGCTGAAACAAAGGAGGAACACCACTTCACAGTTGGCCATAGTAGGATCAAATGTGTGCCCCGTGGAGAGCTTGGACTACGAGTAAGTTTCTTGTTCTTTTTTTCCTTTGGTTTTTTCATTTTGTGGCCTTTTCATTCGAAGGAAAGCCATATAAGGGACAAATGTCATAGCCCTTAGATTTGAAGCATGTGCTATGTGACTAAGTTGAGCTTGCTAAAAATGGAGGTGGGGAAAAGTGGCAGGGGATTAAACTCAAGATGGGGCTTTTATTCTTCCAATTTCAATCAAAACATACAAAAATGGACAAGTCGTTTGGAATTTTGAATTTCGACTCTTTAAATTATTTGTTGGTTATCAAAATTTTGAATCTGAAAATATGTAAAAGCCTGAATTTCGGACATCTTTTCATTTCTTTGTTATGATGATGAACTTTTATCTTCCAGTTACTGGTTAAAATTAGCCAAAAGGACCCAACTAGATATGATGAATTCTGAAATTTTCAACTCTCGTTTGACTTTGGTACGTGTTCCAAATTTGAAACCAAACATTCAACCAAAAATTTGAAGCTCAGCACTTTATGTAGTTTTATAATGGTTCAAAAGAAGGCTTCCTGTGATAGTTTAACCTGTGCCCAAACCGTAAACGTGGGACAAAATTTAAGACCTTGATTACTATAGTGAGTGGCAGAGCATTTTCTTTCCTCTTTGTATTTTCAAATTTCTGGATTGGGTCATTCACTGTTTGGTTTGGCATTACCATATTTAGTACTGCAAAAGAATTTAAATGCAACTATAGAGGTTTTATTGGTCATTTAATTCCTCTTTTTCTTTGTCTTTCTTTGGGTTTCTTTCTCTTGGATCAGGATTATCGAGAATGATACATTTAAGCAGGACTGGAGATCGAGGAAGAGAGTACAGATATTCCAATATGTATTTCTCAAGTGGACTCTGGCTCTTCTCATTGGACTGTGCACTGGGTTTGTGGGCTTCTTCAACAATATAGCCGTGGAAAATATTGCTGGGTTTAAGTTGTTACTGACCAATAATCTTATGCTCCAACAGAAGTATGATTGAACTCTCTTCTTCATTATCTTTTCTTTTCTGTGCTTTAAGTTTCATTTAGAGAGGGCTTTGTATTTGTTTTTAGCAATCATGTTTTGAAGCTCTGGGAACTTTGCATTATATTGTTTGTTTCTCTAACACTTAGGTGCCTTCTTACAGTATGCCCAGAATCAGGTGGTGTAGAAATAGAAGTTCAGATTTGCTCCTAATATTCTATCAAAATTTATCTTTATTTATTTTTCCTTAAATAAAGTTCAAAGTCCACTGTTTGGGTTTCGGATGCAAATATGATTGATGCATGTATGCAGACTTTTTTTTTGAGTCTTTTTTTGGGTAATCTTGGCCAGCATTTAGAGTGTTCAAAAGGAAAGCTGAAGTATCATATAGTTTATTGGATAGTCCAATGGGATCATCACCATCCATCTCATTGGATGGTGATGGATAAAGGGTGAGACCCATCGGAACAGGACAACACCGTCTATCGGATGGGTGATGCCCTCTCTGTCCATCCCTGTCCACCATTTCATCGATGGAGATGACCCAATAGACTATGGATTTCCATAGTCCTATGGACTACAGTATGCTTTCTCAAAACGATACTCCCATGCATTGTAGTGTACTTCAGTGTTGAAATACTCGGCCCTGGTATGCGACTCTCCCCTACCCGAGCCGAGTAACTCGCGGGAGTCCGAGTGGACTCAACCGAATCCTCTGTACATGCATGCAAATGCCTCAAAAAAAGCAAAAAAAAAAAAAAAGAAGAAAAAAATCCCCATTATTTAAAAAATGATAGAATTTTCCTTTAGAAAAAAGTGGAAATAGATTTTTTTAAGGGGGAGGCCCAGGGAGAGAGAGAACATGATTTACAGAGAGAGATCAAAATGGCGGCGGATTTTTGCCCCCATATTGAGAGAGAGAGAGAGAGAGAGAGAGAGAGAGAGAGAGAGAGAGGAGGAGGACGACCGACCACCTACCTCCTTCGTCTACGTAACTACTAGTAGTACGTAGTACGTACGGTACGGTACGTAGTACGTACGTACTACTACC